CAAAATTCAGATTTCCTGGGCATGGATATAGTTCAAGTGTCTGGTACTGTATAAGGTATGTCGTACTTATTGGGATTTATTTACAGGTATTCTTAATGTAAACAAAACTTTAAAACAATGGGAAAAAAGGTAATGGAGACCCGACTTTCGACATACGAAACAAATCAACTTACAAACAGCCTCTCGGTCCCCATTATGTTCTTAACCCCTTAACATCGGGTGACGCCGATCGGCGTGAAAACAAACCGCTCAAAAGCTGGTGTGCAGCTGTACGCCGCAGCGGCGCGCCAAAGTGCGACAAGCCAGTGATTCGGGCTGATGTGCCCTACTCACGCCGCCTTTGTTTGTTAGAGCGTAGAGTTTTTTTTTTTGTTTTGTACACCCGGCACCATTGGATTAAGTTGGGGACTTACTGTATGTATATATGTATGTGTGTATATATATATATTTTCATGTCAAAATCAAATATGTCTACATTTATAAAAAAAAAAACAAAAAAAACATGAAAAGTTTTTTGATGATTTTTAGATCATAAAACCTTCACTTGGGAGGAATTTGTTATTGTAAGTCACATTCATCCTCCCTTAGCAAATTTCAATAGGTAATGTCAAAATATAATTTTATATTTTAGCTCCAGAAGGGGATATATACATGTGTAAAAATTACTGACGCCACACAAGAATGCCTTGACTTCACGGATCCTGGTCACTACCAAGTTTTTCTTTGTGGAGACTTATATTCGCCTGGGTATTTCTGCATTCATATAAAAGTGTGAAAATGGATATAACTGATTTTCAACAAACCCAACTATTCCCACCCAGCTGAGGGACGGTCCCCTGAAGACAATATTATGGCTAAGAAGTAATACATATTAGAAACCATCAACAGTTTGATATCTGAACCCTTTAACCCAATACCGCCGCTGAATAACAACGGGGAAAATGCTTTGCCCATTTTCTATATTTATGTGAAATGTCTCTGCACTTAGATGGCTCTGCTAGTGCTTAGCCACAAAGGAGTCAATTAGTGTACCTTGTGACCTTACATGATCTGAAATGGTGGGAAAAACGTATTTTTTACTAATGCTATGAATATCAATGGTCTTATTTTTATTATAAACATTATAATTACTATAATGTTATAAACATTAGTAACAGCAAAATAAGGGAACGTAAAATATTTTCGTAAATCAAAAAAAGGGTAAACGGGTGAGACAGGCAGTACTCGTAACTGGCTTATTGGTGACTTAGTACAAGTGTAGCCATCTATGTGCAAAAACAAGTATTCACAGTGGGTATAGCATGTACGTACATGTCATGCCTGTCTGCATTAGGTTAGGTGTCCCAAAAAATGAAAGAATTATTGCAGACTAATCAGTTTGGACAACTAATAAGATCAAAAGAAAAGATTGGCAGAGCCCCTTGCTGGAATGTCCAGAGGGTCTTTTGGTGGTTTTATGTTCGTAGATTTTACCAAAAGATTGGCTGGAGTTTTTCGAAAGGTGGAGCACCGGCCCACAGACTTTCATAGTGTTTTTTTTTGCATTTATGCTCTATATTCATTCTATTTTGGCCTGTTTTACCCTATAAATTTCCTGATATACTTCATGCTCCCCCTGTAATTAGGACTATCATATCAAGATTATCTATGGAAATGGTCATCAGATTTCAATGATTCATTTACACACCTAGAATAAATCAAATATTTGGATTTCCTGAAAATAAATAAATAAATAATAATAATAAAAGGAAAACTTTCCGCTTATGTCAACCAATCGTACAGTAAAATAAGTGTATGGAATGGATACCTTGACGAAAACTAAGACACTTTTCATCTATGGTAAAAGGTGCGCAAATCTAAAATAAGGGAGATATAGGACAGGGAAGAGAGAAGCTCGACCCTTCATTTTTTAAGTCCCCTTCCATGTTTACCTCGCGAGGATCAAAACAAATGTGATGCTTAACTCATTACTGCGAACCAGCAAGTAGTCCATGTATTGCTATGCGCTTGTGAGAACACTTATTTTGTCATTAGTAGCATCTGATTCTCTGAATTCATGTATGTAATGTATTCTTCTAGTTTTATTATACTTCTCTTGCGTCTTTTGGGAATTATTTTACGTTATTCTGTACAATAACCTTTTGCGCCGGGAGATTTGACAGGTCGACCAACCACCATTCACTGAGGAACACCAGTGAAAAATGTTTCATTTCAAGTGCTGTGTCGACATCGGGTCATTTTTAAAACTATATTGTGGATATACAGGACAAATAGACATTATTCTCAATCACAAGCCTGATATTTGAGCCCAACAAGTGCCCCAAATGCCAAAAAAAGTGATTAGAAACCAGGCAATTCTGACCATAGACAGAAGAGCACAAAAGTCTTTCGCTTTATAAAGGTATGTGGTATATTACTGTGGAGGTCCAGGGGGCGTAGCCCCCTGACTAGGAAATGTATAGATCGTAGTGTATAAATCCCACAGGGTTAGGTTAGGCTAGGCTAGGCTAGGTTAGGTTGGCTAGGTTAGGTTGGTTTATTGGTTAGGATGCATTGTACGATTACCATAGGGGACCTGGATTATGTGAAATCCCGTAGATTTTTACCGAACGGTGGGTTTGGTTCTCGTAGAGTTTTTCTAAATTTGGCGCGTCAGTTTGTACTTTCAAAGATGGAAGCGATGTCCATAGAGTTTCATTAGCTGATTTCAAGCGTTTTTTGTGCTTGTTTTAATAATGGAGTATAGACAGGGAAAGAGGAGAAGCTCGACCCTTCATTTTAAGTCCCTTCCATGTTTCACCTCGCGAGGATCAAACAATGTGATTGTAACTCATTACTGCGAACCAAGCTCAAGTAGTCCATGTATTGCTATGCGCTTGTGAGAACACTTATTTTGTCATTAGTAGCATCTGATTCTCTGAATTCATGTATGTAATGCATTCTTCTAGTTTTATTATACTTCTCTTGCGTCTTTTGGGAATTATTTACGTTATTCTGTACAATAACCTTTTGCGCCGGGAGATTTGACAGGTCGACCAACCACCATTCACTGAGGAACACCAGTGAAAAATGTTTCATTTCAAGTGCTGTGTCGACATCGGGTCATTTTTAAAACTATATTGTGGATATACAGGACAAATAGACATTATTCTCAATCACAAGCCTGATATTTGAGCCCAACAAGTGCCCCAAATGCCAAAAAAAGTGATTAGAAACCAGGCAATTCTGACCATAGACAGAAGAGCACAAAAGTCTTTCGCTTTATAAAGGTATGTGGTATATTACTGTGGAGGTCCAGGGGGCGTAGCCCCCTGACTAGGAAATGTATAGATCGTAGTGTATAAATCCCACAGGGTTAGGTTAGGCTAGGCTAGGCTAGGTTAGGTTGGCTAGGTTAGGTTGGTTTATTGGTTAGGATGCATTGTACGATTACCATAGGGGACCTGGATTATGTGAAATCCCGTAGATTTTTACCGAACGGTGGGTTTGGTTCTCGTAGAGTTTTTCTAAATTTGGCGCGTCAGTTTGTACTTTCAAAGATGGAAGCGATGTCCATAGAGTTTCATTAGCTGATTTCAAGCGTTTTTTGTGCTTGTTTTACACATTTCTGCTCTCTATTTTGCTTATTTCAGCCTGTTTTACCCCGTAATTTCCCTGATCTACTTCATGCCCTCCCCTGCTATCAGGACTCAACATATCACATCAAGATTGTTGGCTGGAGAATCCGACGGAGAATATCATCAGATTCGTTCTCATCACACAAAAACAAATTTGATGATATAAACATTTTCAGGGAAGACCGATTGTCATTTTTGGAAAATTAACCTAATAAAAATGTCAAAACCAAGCCACTACCCCTTCATCCTTACTGTCCCCACAGGGTCCAACATCATAACTGTTTCAAAACTATCCCACTACCCCTTTATCCATACTCATCCCACAAGATCCAGTCAGGGTGGGTGCAAGGATAGGACATTGTCTAACAACCACTGCAGAGCCCCCAACTCAAGGCTTTTGGTGGTGTCATGACTATAGATTTTACATGAGTTTTGGTTCAAACATCAGCTAGCACAATTCTCTGAAAGTTCGCAAGCCAGTCCGTTGGCTTTCAAGGATGGAAGGCAGGTCTAAAGTCTTGCTTAAGCCAATTTTATGCATTTAATAAGGTGCTTTTACACATATTTGTTATATAATTCTTCTAAATCAGCTTGTTTTACCCAATTATTTCCCGAACATAGTTCACGGCCTCTCCTGGCATTGGGACGTCAGAACTCCATTCATTTGAACAAGGAGTAATACCCATTACCCTATTGACCCAATTCTTCATGCGTGCAGTTCTCTTCCTCTTTAGGACAGTATCCTTGGATTTTAACTTGCTGCTATCATAACATGGATGTAAACTGTCAGTGTTTGCGATGGATATCAGATTCCATCTCATCACACACGAATACATTTGATACCGATATCAGTAAAACCCTAATTGTTGTGTAGGGAAAATCCACACAATTACTGTTTTGCGAGAATGGTCCTGCAATTTCCAAGGCATCTTCTGGCGTCCGCGCTATCGGGGACGTCGGTCCCTCGAGTTCCCACGGGCTCAGACTTAGATATCTAGAGTACGTACACGTGTAATCACTGGATACTAAACTTCAGGCAACGGTAATGGTGTGGTTTTTTTCTTATCCTTTATTCTTTCTTGCCCCAACTGCTACTTTGTATATAATATTAACACAAAAAGATGTGCAGTTCAGCCTTGCCGGAGACTGCCATTACAAACAGTTTCATGTTATGCCAATATTTCTACACTACGAATCTAAATCACTTGGATAAGCAATTCATCTGATTCAGAGTAATGTTCGGAAGTCACGATCGACGTCGTTTGAAGTGAAGTAAGACAAATAAGTAATTATACGGGATTGTGTCGTACCTTCGGTTGTGAATTTCCGAGCAGCCATTTTTGTTTACTATCGCTTGTGTGCGCATGCGTGGGGCCAGCGGAG